TCCTCGGCCATCCGTGTGCTCACTGCGCAGAGTCCGGTCTCTCAGGCACCGTGAATCCGGACCCTGCGCCCTCTTCGTCCTCCCCCCAACCCCGTCCCCTCTGGTGACCACCGTCCTGTCGTCCGTGTCTCGTCCCACGTAGGAGTGAAATCAGCTGGTCCTCGTCCTTTTCCGTCTGACTCATTTCACTCGGCGCGATGCTCTAGGATCCAGCGTGTCGTCACGCAGGGCAGTGTTTTGTTTTCCTTATGGCTGAGGAGCCACCGCGTGCACGTCCCACCCCTTCTCAGCTTTGTCCCTGTCCCACGAGGAACACCCTAGACCACTGCGACGCGTTTCCCGCCCTGGGCTGGGGATGGTTTGGTTCCCCCCTCCCCGATCTGCGGTGTGCCCCTGACAAGCCACCCAGGCTTCGGCCTGGGTGTTGCTTTGCGGCAGGGCCCGTCCAGGGCATCGTGGGGTGTCAGCAGAGCCACCCATCTCCACCCTCCAGAGGCCAGGAGCACCCCCGCCCACCAGTTGTGAGGATCACGAATGTCTCCAGACATCCCAGGTGTCTCCTGGGGACAGATGGCCCTTCGTCGAGAACCGATGACTTAGATGCTTTCTGTGAAGGTCCTTCACATGCCCCGAAATGGTACCACTCGGGTTGTTCCAAGGACGTGTGTTTTCATCTTACCCAGCTGGAGAGGAAAGCAGGACCTGGTATTTCACCTGTGTGCCTTAGCGGCGACCACCGCCGACCCCATTCAGGGCAGAACCTGGCCCAGCCCCGCTTTGCCCTGGCCCAGGGCAAAACTGGGGCCCCAACTTTCTCTCCACTGAGGCTTCGCTCAGGCGCTCACCTTCCTGGACTCCTTCCCCTGGTCCATCCGACCTCCCCAGACCCAACCCATCCTCCCGTCGCAGCTCAGGGAGAACCAGCTCTAAAGCATCCATCCAGGCCAGCGCATCCCAGCGTGAGCATCACGACAAAGAAGCAGCATCACGCTGGCCGGAAGGGTCATTTCCCCCGGTGTTACTCTGTCTGGGTGCTAAGTTGACGCGGACGTACGTCTCCTGGGTTCATTATCTTAGAATCTCGAAAACTCAATTTCCAGCAGCGGCTCTGCTGTCGCGGTCTCTGATGAACAACTGATGGAGGACACAATCTCCTCAGCACCGGCAGGCAGGCTCCGATAGAGAAGATGGGTAAACAGGAAGGGCGACGGCGAATGGATGTGCCGTCAGCTGGCGGCCACATAGAAAGGGGCAGCTGTCGCCTGGTCCTCTGTTCCCTCTCCCGTGGCTTTAGGAAGCCAGAATTGGACTTTTCCAAATAATTAAAAATTATTCAATAATCCAACCTTTCTGGGAGATGTTGGTGTGAGCATTTGAAGCAGAAGAAGAGGGTGGACGTTTGCCGGTGCTCACTGTGTCACGGCAGCCGCGGAAGGTTCGCCTCTAGTCAAGAGATAAAGTATCAGGAAAGAGATAACAAGAAAGACGGCTCCCTGGTCTGCTAGGTCAGGCCCCCCAAATGCGAGGTGGGTTTAGGTGCTGACCCAGAGCCGCAGCGTGTGAGGGTGCAGAGGGCTGTGCACAGCTTGGCGGGGAGCCATTCCCACGAGCGTCCGCAAGGTTGGTGTGAAGTCACCCGACTCTCACAAAGGAGAAAACCGGGGTAGCCGCTCCGCTCCACAAGGTCTCTCATCCTCCAGGAGGCTTGTTCTTTCGGGAGATGGCGGGGTCCAGAAGGGAAGTGCTGGACGTGTGCAATGGCTCTTGAGGACTGGGGTCAGAATTGGCGTCTTGTCACTTCTGCCATATTCCGTGGGCCAAAGCAAATCACGAGGACAGCCTAGATTCAAGGAGAGGGTGAAGAGACTCTTTCTCTTGAAGGGAGGATGACAAAGTCACACGCAAAAGGTGTAAATACGGGAAGAGAATGGGGGGCATTTCGTAATTGCCCTACACTGCTTCTATTACATCCTATCTATCTAATTCTGTCTGCTTACCTATCTTTCTATCTGTCTATGTGTCCATCCATCCATTCTTCCATCCATCCATCACTCATCCAACATCAATCCATCCATCCATCCTTCAACCATTATCCATCATCCATCCATCACTCATCCATCATCATCCTTCCGTCCATCCTTCAACCATTATTCATCATCCATCTATCATCCATCCATCATCCATCCTTCCATCACTCATCCAACATCAATCCATCCATCCATCCTTCAACCATTATCCATCATCTATCCATCATCCATCCATCATGATCCTTCCATCTCTCCATCATTACCCATCCAAAATCTATCCATCCATCCATCCTGGAACCATTATCCATCATCCATCCATCATCCATCCATCATCATCATCCTTCCATCTCTTCATCATCACCCATCCAACATCAATCCATCCATCCATCCTTCAACCATTATCCATCATCTATCCATCATCCATCCATCATTCATCCATCCATCCGTCCATCCATCGTCATCCATCCATCTATCATCCATTCATTCACCCATCTATCTATCATCATCCATCCATGCATTCATCCATCCATCCTTCATTCATCTGTCCATCTATGAAAACTGGAGTTCCGAGAAGACAAGAACTTGGCCAATGTCACATGACTGTTGGGTAGACCAACCCTAGACCTCACTACGGCCAAACTTCATGTCCATAACCACTACACCGGACCCCACTCTCTTCTTTATAATGCCTCTTCTTGGCTCAAATTAAACTTCTATGGAACTGGAAATATTCAGAGCTCGGTCCGGCAGGAAAGCGCGCGCTCGGCACTTTCGCTCCGTGTGGAGGATGGAGTGCCCGGCTCGAGGACGGAAGAACGCGGAGAGGAAGCGGCAGACAGCGAGCCCGCCCCTGCTTCCCCGCATGGAACGTGAACTCGGCACCCGCTTCAAAGCAGATGGAGGGTAAAAAGATAGGAGCGTGGAAGAGGGACCCTTCTGAGCAGGGCGAGTGGGGACTGGCAGGAAGGGGTGTTGACAAAGCTTCCTGTTGTGGGTTGTTCCCCGACGCACACAGGCCTTCGAAGCCTTGCTCTGCTCCTTCTCAGACCCCTTGACCTTCTACCTTCTCCAAACGAATGTGCCTCTAAGCCTCTACGCTTTAAAGTTTAAGAGCTTTCTTGGAGAGGGATGACTCTGTCACAATAAAAGCATTGTTGTGACAATTAGTCCACTGGTTTGTACAAAATATTACCAGTTGCTTAAATAGTGATTTTTTTGTAAGAACACAGATCCGGACTCTTTCTGGAATGTTAGAAGTTGGCAGGGCCTTTTGAGAGAGATTTGCCTGGCTCTGAAGTGAGCGGAAGCGCAGACAACCCCAAAGAGAGAGGAGCCAAGTACCCTTGTTGTTGGTGACCTCGGAACAGGGCCTCTGGGCGAAGAACGGGGGAAAATGTTATTTCTTTGAAAAGTCCTCTTGACAACCCAAGTCCGTTTGGCTGCAGCGCCAAAGGCTGCTTTGATCTGATCGTCGGCGGTGTCCCTGCCAGTGGAAAGATTAGGGGACCCTCCGGAGGGGGGGACGTGCATGAGGCTCCCCATGTGCTGGAGGGACTGTGCCTGCTGCAGAGAGGGCTGGAAGGACAGCAAGGGAGAGGAGCTGCCCCAGCTCTGTCGATACGCGAATGGGGTTGGTTTGGGTGTTCCGGGCTGGTTTTGAAAGACGAGGGCGAGGCAGTGGGCCTTGCAAAGTTAGCCTTTGGGGCGCTTTCACGTCCTGGCCCCTAGGAGTGTAGCCAGTCCCTCGGGGAGCCCCCGACCACGGAAGTATATGCTCACGGGGGATCTGTAGAGGGGCGAACTTCCAGCAGCAGGGAGCCTGCAGGTCGCACAGCTGGTGATGCCCGCGATGGACAGAGGCAGACAGGAAGCCCTGGGATGTTCTCTCCTGTCTCAGCGCTGGCCTCCTGTCCCCGGCGTTCATCGGCTCACCTGCCTGGGAGATTCCGATCGTACTTTCAAACTTAAATGCACCTGGGGGTCACGCAGGTAACAACCGAGCGACGTGGGGTCTGAGTGTCTTCTCCCGTTGCTGCCTCGTGAGCCTGAAGCCCAACCGTTCCCACTTCCTCCCGTGTTTAAGGAGAAGCTGGAAACCCATATCCTTCCCAGGTTTTAAAGGTGGTTCCCAAGCAGAGCGATCTCTTAAAATACTGCTGGCGAAACGAAGCCCATCTGCAGGCTGGGTTGAGCACCATCTGTCAGCGGTTTGCAGTGGCTCCCAGTTTGCCACTTTTCTTTTGACTTTGTTTATAATCTTTTCTGTTATGCAAAAGATTGTTTTTTAACTGTTACAATGGCAAGCTTCTCACTTTTTTTAACTGCATTCTGATTTCGAATCACACTTAGAAAGCTTTTTCTACACCCACATTGTAGAGAATCCATCCATTTTTTTCTTTTAGTACTGAAAGAAATTTGTTTCTTTACGTTTAGATCACAGATCAGTTTAAGTGTATTCTTGTGTATAGTGTGAGGTGTGGATCTAATTTTATCTCCCCCCTCCCCCGCCACCGTGAATCGTTCATTGAAAAGTCTGCCTTCGCGCCAGGATGTGTGACGTTATGCTTATCACGTACTGCATTTCCAGGTGCAGGAGGCTTCGTTTGTGGACGATTCTCTTCCCTTGGTCTATTTCCCTACCCATGTCCCAGTGCCATTAAATGGGTTTCAAGTTCATACAATTTGTTAATAAATATACCCACTCCCCACTCATCGACAGGCTGCCGGCTCTCCGTTTGGCTGAGCCATAGGAAATTGCCAGTTCTCGATGCACGAAGGTCTCTGTTTCACATGGCGCACCTTAATATACGTTTGCGATTTGCAAAGTACGCAGAGTCCCCTCCTGGCTGATGCCGGAAGGAGCATGAAAACTGCAGCCGAGCGGACTTCGGGGTGCTTTCTCGTGTCCAAGCGGGGAATTCTGAGGACCTCACGTCACCTCTTCCTTTTCCTTGTCTCTCTCCGCCCCTGCAGTGATAGAGGGCCGTGGGGTCGCGGACACCGCCCAGAGGTTTTCCTCGCTGCCACCCTACCTGCCGGTGACCTACCGCGTGCACCACGCCGACGTGTCCTTCTTCCTGCGGGAGGCCGACCAGGACGCCATGCGCAACTCCAGCCTGCAGTCGCGCGTGGAGTCCTTCTTCACCTACAGGGCCAGGCGGCCCCCGATCTTAAACGCCAGCTTTGGGCCTTTCGCGGTGGAAAAGGTCGTGCCTCTGGACTTGATGTGGATTTCAAACTTTCTGGGCCCAACCAACGAGTTCGGTCTCAACTGGAGGCTGCAGGCGCACATCCTGCGGGACCGGGTGTACCGCAGCCGGCCCACGGTGCAGGTGCTGTTCCACGTCGTGGGCCGGGACTGGGCCGAGCGCGGCCCCGAGGAGCGGCTGCCCTGCCTGCGGGCGTTCGCCTTCCGGGAGACCAGGGAGGTGAGGGGCGGCTGCCGGCTGCAGGGCGCCCTGGGGCTGTGCGTGGCCGCGCTCGAGCTGCCGTCCAGCTGGTTCGACGCCCCCACGGTGCTGGCCGGGAGGAGGAGGCCGGCGGACCCGGCGGAGGGCAGCGCGGTGGAACTGTACTACGCCGTGCACGCGGCGGACGAGCGCGGGGACTGTGCCGGCGGTGACGTCAGGAAGGGCAATGCCATCCGTCCGGGGAAGGACGGCCTGGAGGACGCCACGTCCCGCCTGCAGAGGATCGGCGCCGTGGGCCTCTTCCCGGCCCGGGACAGCAGTGCGCAGCTCAGCGAGCTGCGACTGGATGGCAACGTGGCCATTTCGGTGCCGTCCGGGCCAGTCAAGCAAGGAGACGTGGTCACCGCCTACGTCACCGTCGCCAGCAACTCCACCGTGGACTTCTTCATCTTGAGGTAGGTGCCCAGGCTGGCCCATGGGAGTCTTGGTGTGCCCAGCGCGAGGTCGGATCCGGCGCTTGGGGGTGTCTGTTCAGGAAGAGCAATTTCCCCCACCCTCGGGGTCCCCCTCGCTTCTCAGTAGAAGCCAAACCACGCACCTGCCCACGAGCTCCTGTTACCCGTGCATCAGGGGGTGCAGGAAGGAGGGCGGAATGTGCACACAAGAGAAGCGAGACAAAATTAATCACCGTCTTTCGACCTTGAGTTGCCATTGAACTTGGAGAGGGGCGTGATCTTCCTTTAGCTTGGAATTCTCTGGGAGATATGCACGTGCAGTTTGCATGATTACAAGAGAAGACATAGGCGGTATGATATCTCGCTCTGTACATGTGATGAAAGCCAGGGATAAGACCCCTTTCTTTATTTCGGGGGTTACATAGTGCCAGTTAGCGGCTGGGGAAACCCCAGTTCATAAGTGTAGTTTAGCAAGGATTAAAGGAATCTACCCAAGAGAAAATTATTTGGCAGAGGTATTTCATCTCATGAAAGGGAGAAAGAAACGAAATCCAATCCGCAACAGAATAAGCCACCTACCCTGGGCACGGCTGCTGCAGCAGATCGCAGCAGAGTTTTCACGGTTCTGCCCTGACACCCTGTGCGGTGACTGATCCTACAGTTTGCCACGGGAGAGCCCGCTCGCTGCGGATGATTAGCACCAGGGGGAAAGCCACTTAAAGCAAATCCTCTTAAAATGTGGACCAGAGTTTCACAATAATGAAAAAGAATATCTGATTGAGATTTGTTCCAAAGATAAAGATGATAAAAATCAAGGTGTTTTTTTTTTTTTTTCCCTCTAGTACAGGTAAGAAGGCCTTAGGTTGTAATCGCAGATGTAGTTTGCTGCTTTTTAGAATGAAAACGAATCACCTGTTGAGCATGGTGCTTGGGAAAATACTCCCCAAACGGGATGATAGTGGTGTCTCATGTTCCATGGATTTTCGTGGCGTGACTGTAAGGACGGCCATTTTTAAAGGTTTCGGTGTTTTTACGAAATGCGTTCCGAGGCTGGGGCAAGTTTCTCCAGGCGTTTCTCATTCCTTCGGGTTCGAATCGTTCCCTTCCGAGGTGTGTGCATTGTCATCGTCTTGTGGGTTTCTTCTTTCAGCGTTTGGACGGACTGGTTTTACCAGACCCTCCCCTGACAGTGTTTTTGGGTGTGATCGAGGACTTTTACGACAGAGCGTTCCGTGACTTTATGAAATCCCACCTCTTTTACAAGAGGTCGGGTGCACCCATCACCTTGGCATTTGTCAGCCCCAGTGGTCAGCCAGCACCCACTGACTCTGCGTGCGGAGGGATGAGCTACCCGTCAGGGCACCTGTGACTTTACTGAAAGTGTCTTAACTTTACAACTATGGGGCTGGGATGGCGACCATTTAGCTAGGAGGATCCAGGTTTGCTTCCTCGTGCCTCGGATGGGAAAGGTGCTGATCTGAGAAGTTTGAGTTGTTTCCACCAAGCCCCTCAGCACCCTGGGTTCCCGTCACTCCATTGCGAAGTGACGACATCCAGCCCTGACTTTGTAGAGACAGAAGACAGGGAACCGAGAGCACAGCTAACAGGTTTTACAGTCCCGGAGTCCTAAAGGATCTCCTCGTGTGTACTTATCCTGAACTTCCCTCTTCAGAAATGCAGGCTGCGCCTCTGCCGGGCTGGGTGCGATGAGCTGCTGGGCCCCTGGGTGGAAGGTGCCAGGCCTTCGGCCACAGTGGACACTCAGGTGCCATGGAGATAAGAGCTATTTCCCGCACCTTTCATCACAAAGACAAGCCTCGTGATGAAGAACACGGGTCTGGCCGCCCCCTGGCCTCAGTTCGAACCTTGCCTCTTCCGCTTCCTGTCCGTGGGACTGTACCCAGGTCCCCTAATCCCCGCGGGCCCCAGTTTCGGCATCTCTAAATCAGTCGTGATGGTGCTACCTGCCGCCACACGGGCGGGAGGGTTCAGTGAGCTAATATTCATTTGTAAGACGCTCCTAAGTGTCTGGCACGTAAAAAGTGCTTATATGAATGTTGGATATTATTAACAGGGCTGTTTTTAAACATCCATCAAACTCTCAATAAGCACTGAATTCTATTTCAGCAGTAAAAGGACATCGTGCCTCGCATAAAACAACAGCTACCCAATTTGTTACATTGATTCTCATTTCGCTGGGATTTTGTTGAAAGGGAAAAAAGAATTTATAATGACAAGGGCTTTTGCAGCACAGGGGGAATAACAGCATGGCTCCGAGCTGGATGTTACTTAAGGCCGAGAAGGGCGGCAGCCCGACCTCTGCCTTCCTGATCCTCCCGGCCACAAATCAGCGTCCTGGGGGGAGAGAGGTAGGAAGCAGCACGGTCGGGACCGACTCCAAGACACTGGGCACGAAGACGCAGCTGCAGTGCCTGGGATGGGAAGCCGCGGGAGACCCAGGTTGTCCCTTTCCAGATAAGATATTTAATTTCGTTTTTAATTAATTTAAATTTTTAATTCATTCGTTTTAAGGAAAACATATTCAGTAAGCCGGGCACCTTCAACCCAGGGGCCCAGCAGCTCATTCACACCCAGCCCGACAGAGGATGTACACAGACGTAATGAAAACAGTAAAGTTTGTAGGAGGCTCAAAACCTCTGAACTCAGTGATGGGCTTAGAGATGCTAAGGGCGCCACAAAGGGTCTTTCCTCGCTACCGGATTATATTATGATGCTACCACGAGTGTATACGCAGAAAACATATCTCCGTGTCTAGAAACGAAAGCTGATTAGCATAGAGGGTGGTTCGGTCTACGCCAGGGTTTACCAGCCGGGGCACTGCGAGCATTTGGAGCCGGGTAATTCATCCCCAATCTCTACCAGTTAGTTGCCAGTAGCTCGCCCTGTCCAGGTGTGATAAGCACAGTGTCTCCAGATGTTGCCAACAATCTTCCGAGGGATGAAATCATCCCAGTTGGCAACCACTGGTCCACATCTTTGACGCGCAGAGCGGAGAGCTCTCCGGATAGTGTGCGTGGAGCCGTGGGCGGGAAAACGCAGATGCGGGGCTCGTTCCCAGGCGTTCCTTGGGGCGAAAGCTCCTGAGACGGTGTCTCTTCACTGTGTCTTCTGACAGTAAGTGTGGGGGCGCCTTCCTTCCGTTCCCTCCCCACTAAGAGCCTAGTGTCCAATCGATATAATCAAATACCAAAGGGTACAAACCGTTCCAGAGACGACTGAGGGAGAGAGAAAGCGAGACGCTCGGCGTCACCTGCATTGACGTCCTCACGTTTCTGGATTCCGTGGCTCTCAGGTGGCTCCCTCGGGTCCTGTCGGCCGGTGGTCCAGCCACCAACCCCTCCCTCAAAGGCCGCCGCCCCCGCGGCTCCAGTCACTTCTCCACGAAAAGGAAAAACAGAGATCTCTCCATCTCCTTTTCTGCTTGTTCTTTGGGGCCTAGTGATATCTTCAAGAATAACCGATAATAGATCAGCAATTCACAATTCACGTGGCTGCTTTGCTTTTTTTCCGGGTGGGTTTGTGTGCCAGGATTGTTAACGGAGGCTTCGGGATGTAAATCCTAAGAGATGCTTTTTCTTTTTTTAAGTAAAACGCTGTGACGTGAGGAGCTGGTCCTCCCAGAAGAATGAAGGAGCAGGACAGGGGCTGCTTCGTGCCAAGCACCCTGTCTTTAATGACCCTTGCTTTGTAGAAGCGGACTCACAGAGCAAGGGCGCAGTGGGGTGCTCCGAGCTGGGGTGCAGAAGGCGGTGTTCTCTTCCTTCCTGGCTGTTGGATGTGGGACCTGCTGATTCATTAGTTCTGTCCCGGATCGGCTGGCAGATAAATGCAGTCATTATCGTGAGTGACTAATGTTCCCACAACAGAATCAACACAACGTCCTGTGTGCTTAACAGCCACTGTATGTTCCCAGCATCTTCCAATAAATAAATAGAAAGGATCTTGGACGAGGCAGGGAGGAAGCTTTCCAAAGGATGTGCCAAAGTGCCTCTGCGCTCAGCAGTGTCGAGAGAGGCAGTACTTTTCCAAGCAGGATGAGAGCGTCGGTGGGTTCATTCCTTTGTCTTAAGTGTAGGATCAAGGAAGGCAGGTAGAGTTCAGAGACTCTCGCCTCCTCTAAAAGGGTTTTGTGAGGTTTTACAGACAAATCTGGTTCCCGACCAGCCTCGGGCAAAAGGCAGAGTCCTAGGTCCCCACTAGTGAGCGGGTGGCGGGGTTCACGGAGCTCGTCTCTCTCAGTCGTGGGTTCACAATAGGTGAGTCTATTGATACTTAATCATACACACATTATACACAAATACACAGAAATTCATAACGGCAGTATTCATAGTCGCCAAAATATGAAAACAACCCAAACGTCCCTCAATATGTTATAGGGTCAGTAACACATATGGAAACTTGGCCTACGCATCCTTTACCAGATGCGTGAATGAATCAGCACATTATCGTATATCCGTATGATGGGTATTGTTCGTCCATAGAAAGGAGTAAGATCCTGACCCTCACTGCCGTGTGGACGAACCCTGAAAGCGAGGTGCTGGAGGGGCCGGACGCCGAAGGCCACGTAGCGTGCGAGCCCAGTTTTACGAAACGTCTAGAACAGGTAAATCGTAGAGACAGAAAGTAGATGGTGGTTACCAGGACCCAGCGAGATGGCGGGCGGGGATTGATTGCTAATGGGTAGGGGTTTTTTTGTGGGGGATGGAAGAGAGATGTGTGACAGCACAACTTTGTGAATATACTAAGCACCACTGAATTATATACTTAAAAAAATCCCCCCCCACCACAAAAAGAAACCCCAAGAAATGATGTGCAGCATGGAAAAGATTGTTGACTTTGACCTTCTCTTAAAGCCCCTAAACGGACCACACATTAGACGTCGAACCATTTTTTTTAAGCATCTAGTCCACCGAGGCTTTTCCTATCACGTGACCGGATGTTCAGCTGCCTTTCCCACGCTGAGCAATATTCTCAGGATC